GTTTTTGTTAAATCCTGATTCAGTATCATAAAAATTGAGACATCTGCTACCCCAAATGACAATGCTGACCAAGCTGTTCATATTGTTTTTTTGTGCGTGTTTTAAGCCACCAACCTAAGTTTTGTTAAATTTACGTATGGTATTAATAACTGAAATAACATCAGCTCAGTGCATTATATGCATGTATGTATGCTACACAGTAATGATACAGCAAACAACTCTGGAATATGTCTATCAGATATTTCAGGGTGTATTGAGAGACACCTTTCACAGAAATCATATCTAACACATTGAATAATTCTTTTTAATTTATTAATTGTTTTTGGTGTCTTTGTACATTTTAGCGTGTTCACTCATTTCACAGCAAAACTCATAAAACGAGAGTATTTCATAATTACGGTACATTGACTGCTTTCATGAACAGTCAGCCAGATTGCTTCAATTGTATTTACAAAGCATGCTGCTACCTTGAGTGCAACTCTAAAATAATTCTGTTTTGATTTCTTCAATTCTCGTTAGTGAATATTGTTTTTATCATTTTCTCAAAAAACGAAAAAATTTGTGATTATAACAGTATGCAGTGGCAAAGTGTGAAATAATAAATGTACACAGTACCTGTTTGATTTCTGGGAAAAGCCCACTTGTAAAATGAATGATCAGAAGTGTGCATGAGCCTTTATAATTTGAATAACTAGAGAAAATTATTCATTTTGTGAAACATTTGGCTGTCAAAAATACTGTGATTCACATCACAGTAAGAATTTGTATCAAGGTGCAAAATTCATGTATCCATGAATGTATTAAATCCTCCAAAGTTTGATAACATTTTTTGCTATGGATATCATGCAACCAACTGTTTTATTGACTTCGCATATTAAATGAAGTAAAAGTTGTTGTTGTCCTGCATCATTTTAAAGTGTATATATTGGGAAACTTCATAGTGTAGTGGTTAAGACCTTTACTGTGAAATTTTGTGGGTTCAAATCCAATGCTGGGAACTTAATTTGTTTTTACTACATCTCTCGATCTTATGCTGTGATCTGCCCCACATATGTAATGGCCGACTAACACAATTAGAGTTAGCTGTCAACTTTTCTAACATTGCCACTACCGGTATATTAGTGGAGTTAAATCAATTTCATTTTGTGATTCTATGTTGATTTTGTTGACTATTTTATTTCAAAAACTAGAAAAACACCTTTTTTTAATTTTGTAAAATGCTGGGTACTTAACTCATTGTTTCTATTCGCAATATAGCCCTCTGTTTCAAGTTTGCACATTTTTGTCTATCAATTGTTCAATTGTTACATGAGGCCTATACTACTGTACTGTCCACTTTGGATAAAATCTCCTCCAAGAAATTATTGCTCAATATTGCTCAAATTCAGCAATTTAACTATTGGTAATAAAACGTCAAAAGAATATTGATATATTAAGGTGACTGCAATATGATGTTGTGTGGATGAACATGCTTGGTAAATTCTGATTCTGTAAAATGCTATCTTCCAGGACTCCCTATGGCTATCATATTCAAATGCTGTGTGGGATTTTTACTGGCTGCTTGTGTCGCACAACAAGTTCTGTTTTTGTAAGTAAATGCAATATTGGTGTACACACACAAACACTAAATACAACCTGGTGACCAGTTATCATGAATGCCAATAAGTCATACACATACCATGCATGCTTCTAAATATAGACTAAAAAATCTTCTGTAGTAAGATACTGTGAGAATGCTACACACATTAATAATGCCTGCAAGACACATTGATTTCAGGTTTATTGGTAAAATACATAATCAAAAATGGGTTATCAGTATATTTCAGAAAGCTTTGAACTGTTTTTATATAAAATAAACATAAATGTTGTATAAATTTCAAATGAAAGTTGTAAACAATTTTAACTAATCATAATATCTTGATGTATGAATGTCTCCCATATACAATTCTACAGTGATCACTGCGACCTATGACCTAATTTCCCTGCTGCCTGGAAATGAATGTTTAAAATTCAAAGATTAAATGTGCCATGCTGTAATAACAAAATGGCTTGTACTATACCTGTGTAAACAATTAATTCGACAAGTGATTGAGGGGTCTATGTTTCTTGTAATATGGCCATGATGAGGGAAAGACACAGAATCATGGGTAATTGGCATCACTGATAGTCTTCTCAAGGCAACGAACACTGCTTCTTCAGATTTGATTGTACAGGGAAGGTTTTATTTCCTGAGTATGTTTTTTATTCCATATAAAAATTGTTCATAGCTTTCTGAAAAAAATATTGAGCCTAAACATTTCATCCTTTAATTTCTGTATCCATTTTTATATGCAACCCAAACCTCCCCTCTCTGCATGTTAATGTCGCATTCAATAAAAACATAAATTTCTAGTTATATCCAGCGTTTTTGTAGTCCGTGTGTTGACTTAAATTGGATTAATATAATCTCTAGCAAAAGATGGCCACCTCGTATCTCCACTCCATTCAGCAGAGTTGCACCGTTTCATTGTATTCCAAGCTGTTACAGAGTTTTTTTGTATGTTTTTATATTCACAGTCAACTCATTTGTGAAAATATATTCCCATATTTACATATATTATGACCTGGATACAGATCAGTTTTTTAAAATAGAATACCTTTGAAGTGAAATCAAAATTTCTGTATTTGCTCTATCAGAAGGGCATCTGCGTGGTAGCAGAAAAAGTAATTTATCTTGTCTCTATATTAAGACAAAACCATGTAAAACAGTGTCTCTATATAGAGACAAAATGAAAATAAAAAAATACATCAACAATTACTTTATAAACCTAGTGATAAAGAATATACAAATGCGAAAAGAAAACAGAATAAAAAATTTAAAGACTCATTTATATAAGCATATGTGCTTCTAATCAGAGGTTGATATTAAAAAAAATCCATTTAAAAAAATGTAACAAGATATTTGTCATAATGCACTGATATGAAAAAGATATTTTTTAATAAAAATATATAAGTGTCAATATGCATGACATGAGTAACTGCATGTTACAAGGTGAATAAAATGGATTTGTTACTACACTTTAAGAGTTTTTTTAACTTGTTGAACTTGTGCATGTAAATATCATTTCCAATGATTGTAGATGTGAATCAACGCTCAATATTAGGCTGAGTGTATCAGAGCCTTACTTTCACAATTTATGCAACATATCAGACAGTTCTATCGGAGTCTTCTGTCAAATCCTCGTATAATTTATTATGTCATTGGAAATGATGCAAATTAAAATGTTTGCATGTAATTAACATAATTAAGATTATATGTAACAATAGCATGAAACATTTCTTGGTTATTGACCTCTGTTGCTATATTTTGCAGCTCTGTGCCAAGTCCAGTTCATGCTGAACAGCTGGAAGAGCAGTCCCCCTCCAGTCCCAAACGAAGCTCTCCGGTCACAATCAAACCTAGCTCTGTTGCCAATGAAAAGAACTGATTTCACAATTCCAGCCGTTTGCAGTGCACTTATTCGCGCAGCTGAAATTTTGTTTTGTGCTGGTGGTGGTGGTGGTGGTGAACTTTAACAGGTCATCATATGGAATGGTGGCAGCCTCAGACAGATAATAAAACAGACTACTGTTTAAGGTGTTAATCTGGCTAATTAAGCATTCCGTGTTTGAAATGCTTTTTCTTTCTTGAGTTCCATTATTTGATTAACCTCTGCTGAGGATCATGGAACATTAAATTTCATTTCTTAGGCTGAGAAAAAAAATATCTCTGTTTCTCGTTTCCGCGTGCATCAGTTTGAACTATGTGCCTCAAACATTTTTTCTAAAGCATTCCAAAATGCGCTTGTACTCGCACTTGTCTCAAATTTCTCCCATTTTAGCTCAGTATTCAAAAAAAAAAAAATCACCTCACAGTCTCATTTTAAAATTTCCATCAAACGAGAAACATAGTTCATCCATGTGCTTATTTAAACTTAATCAGGTTAACAGATGTGGTAGCATTAAATAAAAAAGAATGCATCGTTAAATCTATTCCTTTAGTTGTCTGAGCAGAAACTTAACTATGTGACTATATTTGCCCTATTAGAAGCACATGCACTTATTTCAATGACATATTTCAATGAACCAACATACAATAAATGCAGTTTTCTCATGTGCACTTCAAATAGAGCAAAAGGGAAACTAAAATGTACTAATCAACTCTATATGGTGTTACTATAGTAATCTATGTGGTTTGATGATCCACAAAAATACTGAATCAATGTGCAATATTTGTATATATTTTCAAATCTATAATTAACTTTAAAAGTTTTTTTCCCGAAAATTGGTACAGAGCGCATACATATACATAGATAGAAAAAGAAGACTCTGGCTTTCACTTGTGTCTCTTTCACTTATGTCTTGTGTTCATTACATTATTACATCATGTCTTTTGATATAATGTTGCAAATATATAATATATATATATATATATATTGATACATTCCAATGTATAATTGATGAATAAATGATTTTGTATAATTATTGTTACGCTTCACTCACCCCTAAACACAATATGTGCATTAGTTTTAATTTTATAATCTTCTGTTGGTAAATTGTTACTGCTATGGTAACTCTTATTGTTATTAGTATTTAGGCCTTAAAAAACATTTCTGGTCTTTGTGCGCACCACCAAAAAAAAGTGTGGGCCACTGCACAGCGCCCTCTGTTGATGAGTTGAAAATGATTTTTAGCAAAAACAAAAAAAAAATTGCCTCAATGCCCTGTTTTTGAAAACCATTGACCGGAATTTTTTTTTTCTTTTGCAATGGTGTTTTGCATTTTTCTATGTCTTAATTATTATTGTTTTATATTTATTTTAGCATAATTGGTGGTGGTGTCTAAGAAACAAGCAGACACAAGAGAACATGCTTTATTTCATTAAGCTGTTTTCCTATTGTCCTGGATGTACCGGTAGTTATATTTTTGACAGGGGGGAGGCTACTTCTGGAACACCTCAATCCAGACACATCTCTGGTTCTTACAGGCTTGGTTCCATGTGCATGCTTGTATTTCTGGCCCTTGCAGGACTGGGTTCTGTTTAAATCACGGCACCTGGTGTATGAACGAAAAGATGGCAGCCAGATTTCAATATACAACTTGCAGTAATTCATAATGTCAATCGTGCTATTAATATACGAATCACCAGTAACGTATAAATGCACTGCGTAGTTTATATATTGTTTATTTTTTTATGGAATAGGAAATTTTGGGTTGAATAATCTCAGATATATATATACATATATATAAATATAAAGGTTTGTTGTAATTTATAGTAATTTATTTACAACATTGATGCATGCTGTATTATCTAGACATCAGTAGTTTCATGAGAAAGTCAACAGAATGCCACTGGAAAAGATGAAATATTAATTTTACTGTATTTTATTATGCATATACATATATATTTACTTTAGATTCTTTTTATGTTGGAAACAATAGTTTCTGTGATTATGTTTGCACATTCAGCAGGTCTTGATAGACCATTTTCTGTTCACTGTGAGATCTCCCGTTATGCGTGAATTCAAACATAAAATACAAGACACACAAAGGTCATAGTGACGTCAAAACATCGCATGGGATTCGACAAACAGAAAACTATTTTTAGGGCGTTTCCACGCATGCTATATACATTTGATGATGGTCAAGTAAGGGTATCTTAACGCTATATTCTTCTCTGAAAAAGTTGAAGTTCAAAACCAAATCATTTGATTTTGGCAGATGTTTGACCCGCATCTTTCACGTATTATGCAAGATCTCGCAGCGAACAGAAAATCGCTTATTTACTGAAGTTTGCGACTTGTACACTCTTTGACCGGATCAATCAAATTAACTAATGTGAAAAATTGGTACTCAAAATTTACTATCGAATTTATTATTGTTCAGAGAGGTCATTTCGATGGTGGATAAAACTTATCATCAAATATTGACTGGTTTGCCGAAAATCTGAACAGATGTTATATTTTTATTATAAAGGTTAAAAATAAATGTTATGAATGAGCAGCATGTTTGAAGAAATCAAAATAATAGAAATCAGTTTTTGAATTTTCACCATTCTCAATGTTTTATGCCTGCTTACAAAACATAATTTCTGGCCTTGTCTGGTCGGTCGCGTTCAATCACACGTATTACAAAGTTGAAAGTCGTGCGATTATTTTCAAATGTTGCAGGTATTTCACAATCAGTGATCAGTTTTGACATTTCACTTTCTTAAACAAAGATATTTTTTGACTTCTGTAACAATTTTAGACATTTGCCTTTGTTCAATTATGTTATGTTAAGTAGTGGGTGCTGTTTAAAGGGTGTGTGAGTTCTGCAAAGTGTGACCTTTTTTTGATTGCACGTTCCGAAATAGAGGTGCTGTGCTGGTGAACTACTGCGAATGAATCTGTGATTTACCAATAAATGAAATGAAATACAATACGATTTTACATATCCATGGATAGAGCGCACATTTCTTATATGGTCAAGATGTATAAAGATACAACTACAAAAAAGACAAAGCCATATGTAATGTTTAGCCAGCAAAGGCCAATATGGCTGCCTTTATTGTGTCGTTTCTTATCAAATTGTACTCGTAACAAAACAATTTTACTAATATTTTTGTTATCATTGTGGAATTAATAAAATGTAAGCTTAAGGAGGATTCAGTCTAAGTTGTCAACTTTATTGGACTCTTCATAACTGTATTTTACACTGATGTAGAAGAATTGCACTCTGACATTATCTATTAAAGCGCAGTGGTCGTCGCGCAGCGCATGTTCGAATTTTATGTAAATAAACAATGTATTTTACACGCGTTGTATATATCGAACAGGACACGGTGCGATGACTGCCGCCCTTTACTGGTAAGCTTCAATGAGGTCCTGGAACTATTAATTTGTGTGAATTACTTAAAATATTCTCTAAATGCCCAAATTTCAGATTTCCATTTGATTTTTGGAATTTTATGTGCGTATGATTACTGCAGGAAACATATTTCCCACAATTTGTCTTTGGTGCGCAAAGTGTGCTTCATAGGACTCAATTAAAACATGTTCGTAAATATTTCTGATATATAGTTATTGGCATTCTGGGGGAAATATATACAGAGAAGTTGAATATTAATGTGATGGTAATGCTCCATCATATGAATATTCATTAGACGTTATATATTTATAATCATACTGAATTGAACTATGTTATGAAATACAATGTACCAAATTGTTGATGTACATTGATATTCTTCAATGTGTTGGTCATATGACTGCATTACTGAAGATGCATGGAGACCGTAGTAAAATTAAGTGGCATCGGGTAATAATACCCAATTTAGTATTGATGTAACAAATATCCGACCAGAATCACTGTCAGAAACAACAAAAAGAACGATTGCTTCCCACATGGCATGTGAATATATACAAATTCAGACAGCCAAATAGTATTGCATATATGGTACATGCACCATGCAATAAAATTACATCAACAATACTGGTCACAGCACAAGGTTGAAGGTCGTTTCCATGGCGGCATTCGTTAGAAGCTGTTAATACGCTGTACATGTACCTCATAGTAAGTAAATCTGTTTTTCAAATTGGGGACTGACTGTATGCAAGCCATCTATTGGCACAAAATGTCCTTTTTGAGTCAAAAGATCCCAGTTGAGGATAATATATTCTATGAAATCCTACAAATGACAACGTTCTTGTGTGAACAAAACCTGCATACGAACATTGCGTTTCATAACTTTTCCTTCTATATTTGTCAAAGATTCAAGATGAGCGAGCTGAATTATTAAACGCCAAAAGAAAATGAACGTATTGATGTTGATATAAACATGCATTATCAGAGTTTTCAAATGATTATAAATGTTAGCACGGAAAATAAAATACTCGTGTTGTATATTAAATTAAATTATTTTATTTTGATTCATGCATTCCATGAATGTTGTATGCTAAAACATGCAAATACATTTCATGTACATTAGTTTACCTTTGAAATGAAAACAGTGTCATTCAAAATGTACATGTGGAAGTTATATCTTCATATTATAATCATAGTTGCATAAATATAAAAAAAAGACAATAAAGATAACTTTAAATGTTTTTCAAAATCCCAATTTGTTGTTAAATATTGCATTCTGATATTCGGAGTTAGGATTCCGAAAACTGGGCCGTTTTTTCGAGAAATAAACCATTAGCAGTCCAATTGGTAATTTAACTTTTCTACAAATATAATGGGACTATTATTTCCAAACCGTATTATATCCAAGTAGAAGTGTAGCATAAGACATTGTGGTCCTTAGAAAAATGACATTTATTTTATTGAAACAATAAGCCATTCAAAAAACGCGTGTGAATTACGGGTACCAACTTGAATACATTTGCTTAACCCGTCAAACGAATAACATCATGCTACCAAAATAGTTTGTTTGGATAATAATACAGTGTGTACATGAACAATTATATTATCAAGTAATGAAAGTTATCTATCCTCGGGGGCGGACATCCGGGCATTTTCACCTCCTGGCAACCCGCGGCGGTGAAAACAAAGGCAAAAAACTCGCAGAAAACGGTACTTTGGGATGATTGTTGAGACTCCTCTGAACAGTGTAACAAGATTAGCCCTACGTGTTTAACATATATAAATTTGGTTGTTCGGGATTACTTCAAAGTTGAGTTTGTGTTGTTTTTTTCGAATTTTCACCGGCTCGACTGGCGTTCCACAGCAGCGCGCACAGAGCCCATATAAATGCATGTACAGTGGTGCGCATCTTAGCAACGTGGAACGTCTGTGACGTAGCTCCGCCCCCGAGGATAGTTGGCACAGTTTAAACATAGCCGAGAAAGTCATGTATAAAGTTGCATTGCCACTGGCAAAAATATAATTCCCACTGCAGTTCAGTTTGTGGTTTTCCTGATTATTATTATTGTATATATTTTATTCTTAGTAAATTATGTATATATATATAAGTTGTACGTGCCATCTACTCTGTATATTATAAATATTGATGAAACCTTGTGTGCCCTGTAAAATTCTATCAGAATCGTGTAATATGAGAAAGGCGGATCACGTGATGAGATTCTCTTCATTTGATTCAACCAAGGTAGCAGCACCCCAGAATGTTACATGACAGTACAGCAGAGAAACCGCTGTGGATACTTGGGTGCGTACGCGTTCTCCAGATTTTCGCCGTATACAAAGAAGTTGTACTGTTTGTTTTTCCACGTGTACTTCACCTCAGACATTGGAATCACGCGAACTTGATGGCGCTGTGAAATGAAACAAAAAAAAAGTAATTTAAGACAAGGTGTCAATTTCCGGGAACAACGTCAAGCCCTTTGAACGCATCATTCATTCTCAACGAAGTGTCGCATAACTTATAGTTCACGTGTCTCACGATCGGTCATTTTGATTTCATTTTCTAGAAATGAACCAGGGACCCTTATTATAATCTTATATACTCTGTCAATTACGTTGATCGCAGTGTCACATTTCCCAGGGCCCTGTGCGATGTGAGAATGATCTATATATGAGCTACCACATCGCTTGTAATATTAATTAATAATAATCTTTATTGCATAATCGTACCCTTATTTGGATATTGAGAAAAAGAAAATTACAATAAAGACGAAAAACTGAGGAAGTAGCAAAATGGAAGCGCTAAAATAGTACAGAATTAAAAAAAGAAATAGTTTATTTTGCTGGTAGTTTTTTGATTGAAATGATTTTCTCTCGCACTGAAACAATTAGTATGTGTAATGTTGCAATGTATTAAATTTATTTCCTTCAACATTTCAGTCCTCTCATTTTCATACAGCTTTCATAAAAGTAAGAAGTGCATTTCGTCTTCAATTTCAAAGAATTTTTTTATATTGTCCTTTCTCTATTTCTAAATTATTGGCGCTAATTCTCAATTTTGTTAACACTGCTCTATGTTTTGCATGTGTTACTGTTGTTAGATAATTTTTCTTTAGCAGTCTATATGTGCACAGCTTATTCTTTTGGTTTTTATTTTTATTATCTTCATGCATTTGTTCTTGACTCTTGTTTTCAAATACTTTTTTTTTTAAGTTTAATGCAAATTGTGTTGATTAGATTGGTGTTATAATTTGGATTATTATTTTCCCTTGACTTATCCATTTCCAGATAGTGCAAAATATGTTTTATACCAGATACCCAATTAAATATACCTTTACCATCCATCTCTAGGCCAAGTTTGTATGCTTAATGGACTAGTTTGTTTTCATCCTTTGTTTTATTTTTAGCCAATATTTTATCATTTGTTTTACACTAGTCGGTAAAATAGGATGTCTACCTAATTCCAAAATACATGCCAAATTACTGGCTTTACAGTTACATGTAAAAGTAAACATGTTTGTAGGTAACATGTTGAATACTGTCCTAACATTTAATTATAATCTGTCTATATTTACATTGTCTAATTGACACAGTCATGAACACCGATTGAGGACTATGACATTGACAATTGCTATGTTCACACGACAGCATTCTACCGGACCGATAATTACATCTCTTATTCAAACTTAGCCGAACCGTTGTAGTGAAATAAAACAACATGAATTGTAGGAGGATGCTACTCAAATAAGTGTTTGGCAGCTAGCACTGTTGTATTTTGATGAAGTTGATATGTCGCTTATGTGTAAATAATCGCAAATAATGGTTGTTGTAATCGAGTGGCTAGTGCGAGTAACACAATCGCAAAATGTACTCCGTATGAGGACTGGAAAGGTCAGTGGGGTCAGTGCAAACATTATTATG